AGCAGCAGCAGCAACTGCAGCAGCAGCTGGTACTGCTGCCGCCACTGCGGCAGGAACAACAGCGCCGCCTGAAGCTTCATGACACTGTCCTAGCAGCAGCAGAAGCAACAGCAGCAGCAACGACAGCAGCAACATCTGCTGCAGGAGCAGCAGACGAGGCGCTCATGGAGCAGCATTGACTGCAACAGCAGTAGGAGGGACAGCAGCAGCAGCAGGAATAGCAGCAGCACACCAGTAGCACCACCAGCTGCAGCATCTGCTGCAGCTGCAGCATCTGCTGCAGCCGCAGCAGCAGCAAGCCGAGCGGCATGCAGCCTTCGTCCCCTCGAGACGCGCCTGCTGCTGCTCCTGCTGCTGCTGCTGCCGCTGCTGCTTCATCCGCTCCTGCTTCAGGAGCTGTGCCAAATGGAACGAACACTGTGCCTGCTGCTGCTGCAGCATTAGCAGCAACAGCAGTAGCTGCAGCAGCAGCAGCAACAGTAGACTGCGACAGCAACATCGATCAGCAGACTCGGAGTGAAGGGGCCCGCATCACGACCCTCGTACCTGTCTCAGAAGCTGCAGCAGCAGCAGCAACAGCAACAGAAGCAGCAACAACAACAGCATCAGAAGCAACAGCGGCAGCAGCAAGAGCGGCCGCTTCTGGTGCTGGAGGCTCCAGGGTAAATGTCCGCTTTCCTTCATCGCCAACAACAGCAGCGAACGATGCAGCAGCAGCAGCAACAGCAGCGGCAGCACCACCAGCTGCTGCTGCTGCTGATGCCCCAGAAACCGGAGCGGCTGCTGCCGCACTGAGCCGCCAGCCTACTGGCGGCGTCGGGCCCAGCAGCGGCAGCAGCAACAGCAGCAGCAACAGCCGCAGCAGCAACAGCAGCAGCAGCAGCAGCAGCAGCTGGGGGTGTGAGCCAGGCGGGGGGACTGCTGCGAGCTTCATAGAAGTGCGTTCCTTTGCTGAGTCTGTCCCCAAAGGAAAGGAGACACTCTTGTCGCTCAACGAGTCCCTCCTCGCTATCCTCAGCAGCAGCAGCAGCAGCAGCTGCTGCTGCAGCAGCTGCAGCAGCAGCAGCAGCAATGCGCAAAACGGACCTACCCAGCAGCAGCAGCAACAACAGCAGCAGAAGCAGAAGCACCAGCAGCAAGAGCTGCGTAGCGCTTCAGCTTCTACTGGATATGGACGGCTGCGTTGCTTTGTTGCTGCTG